GTGAGTAGTTTCTAGTTTCTGGGGGTGGCTGTCACCTGCGGGTGTTTTGAAATATTGGCTTGAAATCTAAGTAAATACCCGGGGACTTAGAGTTTCCACTTGGTTTTCAGATTTTTATCTTTGGTTGAACATCCAAACCTTCTCACAGCCCGAAGCACTGGAAACACAACAAAACAAAATCCAACAAAGACAGAATATGTGGTGGTTGCTGAAAAGTTTCTACACCTGATAAGCCTCTCTGCTGATGCAGCAATCCAAACCAGACCAAATCAAACCAAATTAGAAAAAGCCTATGTTTAATGGATACAATGCTCCTGGGTGGAATTCCAGCCCCCCTCCCCCTGAGAAAACTGGAAAGAGAGACTGGAAAAACTACGAGTCTGTTTTCTGGGGGGCAGCTTAAATACCATGTGGAAGTGGTCTTGAGCATCTCGGGGGAGGGGTCATCATTTGTTGGGCTTTCTGAGATGCAGCAGGGGTTGGAGAGAGATAGGGGAGGGGCTTGGGTGGAACTTCACTGTAACATCCCAGACTCTTTGGGTATATGAATGCCAGGGGCTGGGGTGAAGCTTCCACTATAACATCCCAGACTCTTTGTTTATATGGATGCCGGTTCACGTCTGGCTTCTTCCTGCCGACAAGGGATGACGTGGGGGAGGGGGAGAGTCAGGAATCAGTGGGATCACATTCGGGGGGGGGGGAGGTTGAGTGAAGAAGCATTCTGTTAGCTGCCATCCTGTGGCCCTCAGGCTCCAGTTTCTTAAGGAGGCGGAGAAGGCAGGTTGCTAGGAGGAAAAATAGATTGTTGTCATTGGCCCTAGTCAAGGGACGGGTGATCACTGCCAGAACAAAGGGAATGGAGAAGTGTCCTGGCAGTACAGAAGAGGCAAGGGTGAATGAATGAGACAGGAGGCAGATGTATCCTTCATTGGGATGTCTTAGAAAACCGAAGGGTGGAGGGCCCCAGCTGCTGGACAGACCAAGTAATCCAAAGAGGTGCTCACTTAAGACTGGAGAGGTGGTACCAATGGGGAAGTCCCAGTAGCTGGTGCAGGTGCTGGCGTTATCTGGAGGACCTTCTGTGGGTTGACTTTGGCCCAGGCAGGAGGAGTGAACCTGCAAGATATGCTTGAAAATGGGTGGGGTAAAACTGGGTTCTGGAGACTGTTTTTATCAGAGGAGATTTCTTGGTATAGAAGAACTTCTCTCAGAAATTGCAGATATCTGTAAGACAGCTGGAACAGATTTACATCTTGGTATCCTAGCAAAAGGCTATGGTTTTAGGTTAAATGGCATAGACACTTTTAGAAGACCAGAGGAAATTTAAAACTCTGAAGTTACATCTGAAACCTGTTAATCCCTGACTATGAAGCCTGTAAAAGAGGCACACCTGTCTGAACTTTTAGTAGGGAAGTTAACTTAATGAACTAATGAGCTATCTCTACCCTAAGTCATCAAACATGGCATCTGAGAGGGATAAGTAGATGAACAGAAGTGAGATAGTTTTTTCAGCTAAAGCAGTCCCAGGTTTTCCTGAAATGGAAGGAGGTGGTTCCATCCACCCCCATGACAGGTACTGGAGAAGGAACTGTTGGACCTGAGTGAGAGGTCAAAACAGAATAGGTAGCTCCTGTGTCCAAAAGAAAAGTAATGGACTTACCGGCTACCTGCAGTGTTACTCTAGACTCAGAGGGGGCAGTGGAAGTCACCAAGTCTGGGCTGTGTGGCATGGCATAGAGGACAATCCCGCACAGGGCATTCTGATTTCCAGTGTCCAGGCTGTCAACAGACAGGGCATGGCCTCGTTGGTGGCCGAGGGTCCAGGCAATATCTTGCCAAATGACCATCCTGCCCACATTTGTAGCTTGTTTTGTCTTTACATATGTATGTATGTGCATCCATATGTTATATATGTTCAAAGTCATGAATGCACACAATTCAAAAGCTCTTCAGAAACATGTCCTTCATGCTCTCTTTCTCAGGTTCCAGAGTTTGAGATGCTCTCTGGCTTCCTCAGGCTGAGGATATATTGTATCTACTCCTTTATACAGAAACCTATTCCCTTCTGATTCTGATTGATTAAATTCGAATTTATGTAATTATTTACACACGGCTATTACTTAGAGGAATCTGCTTAATGTATTATGACTACCTTCTCTACAATCCACAATTCTGTTCCTTTCTGAAATCTGTGACTGAATGGTTTAGGATTCCTCTCTTTACTTTGCTAAGTCTTCCTCAACTTGTTTTCATCTTCTGAAACTTTGCTGATGTCTTACCTGTGTTGTCTCTTTTTTTCTTGATCCTTTTAAACAATGTAACTTTCTTTCCACAACATAGGTGAAGTTGGGAAGGAATTGAATGAATACCTTGTCCCTGGTTTTGCACAAGGCATTGTATTTATTTATTCCCTTAGGCAACTTAAAGCTGAAAGACTATTTCCACTTTAAAACACACTTAGCAGACATAGCCCTCTGGCTCCAGGAATTGAGCCCTGCTCCTGAGTTCCATTGTAGAGGAATCCCGAAGAAAGAGTCGTCCCTGGTCACCGTCACTTGGTGTGGTCACTAAAGGGGTCAGCTGGCCTATCTTTAGGGTTGTTTACAAGACTCATGGGCCTCTGGGGGGTAGGAGAGAATGAGTCAAGGTTCTGGGACAGGAATGTACATATTGAGACACTGAGTGATAGCGAGCAATGAGTCAACCAGTGTGACATAAATAGCTGTGTGCTATATTTTGTAATCACTTAGTTGATCTCTCTGTATCTACACACACACACACACACACACACACACACACACACACACACACACCTCTATTCCTCTCTCCACTATTGTTTCACCAAATAAATGTGTTAGTATAGGACCCTGGAACCATTTCAGTTAAATAGTCTCCGCTCTTCTTTTTCAAGTGGGCTTCATTTTGGATGCTTGCGGTTAGCTTGCTTGTGCCTTTTTATTCCCGGGAGTCAGTCTTCTCCTTTAATAAATAGATAACAGTAGCTCCTGTTCCTCTGGACAACTGCCCCTCCCCCCAGGATGGGGAAGGCAAAGTATAGAAGGAAGAGGTTATGGGAGAGATCTTTCTGGATTTGAACTGTTGTGAAGGGACCCTGGCATTTCTGGGTCTGGTAGGTGATTCAAGCTGGTGCTCACTCATTATGGTGTCCTGTATGGGTCCATGTAGAATGAGATATCTCCTAGCTCTGTTCTTGCTGTGGACAAAAACATCTCTTCTGTGATGACTGAGAGTTATGAGTTCTTCCTCTTGCTAACTGAAAGATGAGCACATCCTGGACAGTGCTCTCTCAATAGTCCATAATTTGTCCACAGAAGTGCCCCATGCCCTCTTGTATGAATGTGCAGAAGTAGCCCAGACTCTGTGAGGACAGTCACATTCCTGTTCTCTTTTGGCTGTGTCAAGACAAAGATGAATAGCTCCTTACCGGTCACTGCTGTCAGAATCTCATTGAAGTGGAGGTTGACACAAACTTCGTACTTTCTATGAGAAACTCATGGCCACAGAAGTAGCTGCTGGTGCTCTGGATGAAGAGGAGAAGGGTTGTGTGGTCCGAATAAGTGGTAGGAAGAGCAAACAAGTTTCTATGTGAAACAAAATGTCTTGATCCATAGCAAAGTGTGCCTGTTGTTGAGTAAGGTGCGTTCTTTTTATAGACAAAGGGGAACTGGAGAGAGGAAGTGCAAGTTTGTTCAGGATGTATTCTGGGTGTCCATCTGAGTGTTCTAATTTGATTATTTAAAAACAAAAGGAAAGAAGGGATATTTCTTGACTGACAGGTACTACTGTGCCTTGGTGGTTAGGGCCCCCAAAGAGCTAGAAAAATCTGGAAGCTTTTCAAATCTCTCCAAAGAAGGTGATGTCTGTTAACATGTTGTTGGAAAGCCTTTAAACAGCAAAGATAGAAAGAAACTGAGGACTAAAGTACCCGTCGTGTTACTCCACCTATATGCTACACAAATGCCCATGCACTGCTCTGAAGAAACAACACCCCAAGAAAAACCAGGAGGCTGCTGAATGTGCTAAACTTTTGGCCAAGAGAATGAAAGAAGACAAAGAAAAAAATCTTTATCCTTTCAAAAGAAGCATATCTCTCTTTCCAAGACCTTTGGCTGGGGTCCAAGGAACAGTCCCCTTGTGTTGGCAAGATGGAGTCTGGGTGTAAGCACAATGTGGACAGGGACTAGGAGGTGTTCTAAGAACTCTACCACGCATGCACCAGACTGTGCTGCTGAGTCTTTTTTCCTAGATGTGGAACCAGCTATGACCCAAAGCTGGGAGAGCTCATTTCTAACTCTCTAGTCAATCATAGTCAATGGTCACTGGTGGAAAGATGCAGGGGGACGCCTATATATCATAGTAGAGGTTTTATCTAACTTCACATTAATGAGGTTTGGGTTCAAGTTTCCATTGTCAATATTCTGGTGTGATCTGAGGTTAGTGGCTGTCACCTGCTACCACAGTTCTTTTGCTTTTCAGATAGATATATTAATAAATGATTCCAGAGGTTTCTGTAAGAATAAGAAGATATATATGAGAACTATTTATAGCCTAAAATATGAAGCAAACATTAACATTGTTAATTGTCCAACAAACCATATAGGAAATATTTGTTATGAAAGCAAGGGGAAATGAGGCACTGTTTTCAGGAGACAGGGAATAAAAGTGGATAGGTTATTATTCCTAAGGACCAACAGTCTTCATATACTTGTCTGCCTCTGGTGGGGGCTTGGTGGGGTCTCTGTGTGGCCGCAGGAGGAGGCTGGGTGGCTGGGCAGGGCTTGAGAGGGAGAAGAGAGCTGAAAGGAACTGGGAGGAGCGGGATTGTCCCCACATCTGGAGAGTAGTATCAGTGGGTACCTGTGTGTGGAAAAAATTGCTCACTGACATTTTAGCTTCTTAGGATTTTGATTCATATTAGAACCAGAAAACATTCAAGTTAGCGCAAACTTCAGCTGTTCCCGTGCTGATCCTCTTAGTTG